AATTAAAAATTCAAATTTCTCCCAAAAAAAATTACTCTAGCAATTCTTCAGAAAAAATTGCATCAAAATTAACATTACGATTACCATGATCAAAAATCTCCTGCTCATTCCTAGTTGTACTTTCATCTTCATTTCCATTTTCATCAAATCCAAGGCTCAAATTCATAATATCTTCCATAAACAAAATGTCATTATTTAAACCAAGACTTTCATCCTCCTCTTCGTTTTGATCTTCACCCTCCTCTTCTTCACCATACTCAAATAAATCATTATCTTCACTATATTCAAACAAATCATCATCTTCAGCCATTGCTGCAGTAATCTCTTGAATGGTGGTATCAAGTTCATCATCAGTTAAATCACTATTGGGATAATTAAGCTCTGTTTTTGCATTGGTAATATAAAATGAGTGGATTTGTGCCATTGATTGAAGTCGTGTAGTATCTATCCTTAGAAAGTGAAGAGTTTGAATTTTATGAGTGATAATGTGTGTACTAGAATTTAAATAGAATTTAAATTATAAATGTAAGTAATACCTTGTTCTCCTTTTGCCAATCATCCAATCTAGGACAGAAAACACCCTTTCACATGCAACTTGATGAGGAACGACAGCAAATAATTTCAGAGCTAATTGTTGGATAAAGTTATCTGGTTGGCGGCAAGTTGCCCACCAAATTTCAGGTGTATCATGATTATCAATATATTCCATATCATAAGGAGGATAATTTTCTGAATATTTTCGAATTTGCGCCATTAAAATCTTACAACTATTTGTGCCACCACCAAAATCTGTCCAGATTTTCATAGCCAACAAACTCATTTCACGAAAGATAGTGTTTTGAAAGCCTTTGGCTAATAATTTTTAAAAGTGAGAACAATGGAAAGGATATTTCCAATACAGATAAAATAAAATATAGATATTAACTTACCTCGATATTTAGGGTGGAAGAAAAAGGTGAGAAGATATGTCATTATATCTAATTTTTCCCAACGTTTATTAAATATTCTAATACATTGCCTTTTAAAATTTGTATCCAAAGAAGATGGCAGGTTTTTAATGGCAATTGCCATCTTCACTAATTCCAAAAAACATGAAGCCATGTTACTTGATTTGGCCTCAATATTTTTAACTGCTCTTTTAGCAGGTGCAAGTACATCTCGAAATTTTTCTACTTCTTGCCAAAATTGATGATCTCGAATGATTGCTTTTACAACAGATGAATCACGAAAAATTTCAGGTTGTGTTTCAAGAACCTGAATAATAAAAAATAAATATTTAGATGAAATCTGTTTCCATGGCAATGAATAGAACATGACACATATTTGTATATAGGTTTTTATAAGCTATATCAAACATCAACTTACATTTTTTAGACAAATTTCTAGTCTTATGATGGAATCACAGCAATCCCACGTTGTGGTCCATCGGGTCTTCACTGGTGTTTTTAATCCTCCTCCTTTTACAAGAGAATTAATAATATCTTCATGAAGTGCAGCACCTGCACGATAAGATTTTTTGAAAAAATTTATAATTTTTTTACACTTCGACAAAATGGTGTTGGAAAACTTTAACTTTACTAAATCAGTTGTAATTAAATTTATATGGTGGGCTAAACAGCGTATTGATAAAATATTAGGATATTGTTGAGAGATTAATCTTCTTGCCATTTGCATAGCTGCTTCACCATCTGAAACTACTGCCACAAATTTTTCTGGACCAATTGAAGTTAAAACTTTTTCAATTTCATCAGCATTGTAATTCCCAGTATGAAATTCACCTGATTCATCTACCAAAGAATGAATATATTGCTTTCTATTTGGAGTAATTATAACAAATGCATAAATTGATTTTCCTAAAGGATCGCACCATCCGTCAATGGCTATAGTAGTAAATATAAATTAAATAAAGACATAAAGATGAATTAAATTAATACAATATTTAATAATTTATCAGATTTGATACCTAATGTTAAATTATCCTCATTTTTAAGCTCCTCATTAATTTTATTTAAGACTGATGAAATTTCTTTATTCAAAATGGTAGTTGAGAGTGTGGTTTTTTTTGGAGGATTATACCCAAAGCACAAACTTTTTGTAAAATCCACAAAGAAAGGATGGTTTACAGTTGAAAAAGAAATACCGCAACATATAAAAAATCGAACTAAAAAAACAATTTAATAGACAAGTATGTTAATTGACAAACATATATTATATAATATAATTGTATAATGTAACTGTTTTTACCTAATGCTCGATTTATTCTCTCTCTCTTACTTGCATCAACTTCTGCAGAAGAATCAAAATAATTGGTAATGGATGGATTAGATGAATTTATCTTCTGTGTTTTATTAGAACTCAAAGGTTGTTCTATAAGTATTTGCATGTATTCAAGTTTTATATTAGTTGGCACTGCAGAACAATGTAAAGCTAGATGCCCTTTCAAAAATTCAGGTTTCCCTCTAGGCCAAGCTTCTGTGCAATAATGACATTTGGCAGAGAAGTGGCCATCTCCTATTGTTTCTTTAAAAAAATGCTCCCAAACAATTGATTCTTTACGACCTCTTTTATTTGTTTGACTATTACTTTGATGATTATTTGACATGCCCGACCTGACAGAACTCACAGAACTCATTTTTTCCTTTTAATAATTGAAAAATGTTTTGTTAAGAAAAAACTTATTACTTCATATAATATAACCATTTCTATAAATATTTATTATTGTTCACTGTTGTTTAAAACCTACATTATTATGTTTATGTTATGTTTAATTGAATTAATAAAGACATTTAATATTTATTAAATGTTCATGGGAAAATTTTTCTATGTTGGTATTAGGTGTTACAGTACTACTATTATGGTATTAGGATTTACGACATTTACGGCATTTACGGCATTACGGCATTTACGGCATTTACGGCATTTACGGCATTACGGCATTTACGGCATTACGGCATTACGGCATTACGGTTTTACGGCATTACGGCATTACGGTTTTACGGTTTTACGGTTTACGACTTTTATGACTTTGAGGTCTCATGCCGAAAATCATTTACGGCTTATACCGTAATGCCGAATTTGCCGTAATTATGGAATTCCGACGACAAGTATAATTTGAACTTATCCATTAAAATTTCTACTGCAAACGCAAACTGCAAATCCTCTTTGATTGTTATTTCATGTAACAATAATAAAGTGTCCTCATGCATCAATATATTATTTACTATCAATTTTATTTCTTTTGATAATTTGTTGACTTTTAATTGTTTTTCAATCTTATTCATCATATTATCTTTTACAAGATATTGATGAAATTCTGGGTAATTGACAACAATCTCTTCTTTGTATAGTATAGAATTGAACAAGAAATTTTCTTTTTCTACATTCATTTTTGAGATAAAATATGCAATCTTCTTGCAAAAAACATTTGATGTACTCACTGTAGCCTAAAACAAAATTGTTGAAAATATTATTTGTAAGCTTCACAGAAAGTTTTTTTGAAAATACACCAATCGGTGTGCAGTGATGACACACATATTAAAATTTAGTGATCGGCACGTGGTGTAATAGGTCTTAGGAGATGGTACATTTGAAAAAATACCCACTTTATCACCATTTTTGGAAATAATTTACAAGATCATCGCAAAATTTATCCTAATTAAGAAATGATATTCAATTTTTTCTACCCAAAATTGAAATGTACCATCTCCTAAGATTAGGGATGGGAACGGTTCCTGTCACGCGAAGCGACGAATAATATTTCCATAATTGATCCGTGACGATTAATATACTA